GATAGGGGTAAAGTAACTTCCAAAAAGATTCAAAAAAGTGTCCGTTAATCTGTAAAAACTGCCGGTTTATTCGAATAAAACACAATTTATTCGAATAGTTTGGATAAAATATGATTTTTGAGAACACAGGGCTTATTCGAATAATTTCTGGATTTATTTGAATAAAACAGAATGAACTGCAAATTGGGAGCCTACTTATTCGAATAAATAGTCATTTATTCGAATAGTTTTCAAAACTTTGGAAAAACTGGAATCAGCCCTTATTCAAATAAAACAAACATTTGTTCGATTAAAACAGACTGAACTGCAATCTGCAGAAGTCCAGTTTATTCGAATAAATTGATATTTATTCGAATAAAAACCTGGGAAGAAACATTTTTGAAGAAAAGTTTTGAGAAAGAGTTTTGAAAACAATCAAAGAGGAATTCTTGTAGGAAAAACAAAGTATTTTAAGAATAAAGGTGTGCCAAACACTTTAACATGAACTAAGACTCAAAAGAAATAAAAAATCTAGAAAACCTTTAATCTTCAAATCTAGTCTTGAATCTCTAAGCAACGTGCTAGGCAATCCACATGAAAAGATCCAAATTCAAAGCTCATCCCATATGCATGGTTGTCATTATCAAAACACAAGGGTCAACATTTTTTTGTTTCTTCCAGTTTTTTCTAACTATTCTCGTTTTCTTCAAACTATTTCAGCTCTCCAACCAATTAGTTTAAAAATGAAATATTTTTTATAGTGATTCATAACTATAGTTTATAAATTTTTTTTTGCATCTCAGTATTTTTACGATTCACACTCATTATTTTTTCTTCAACTTTTTAATATGAATAAGACAATTTTTTGTGTATTAATCTACATGATAAAAAAGGAAAATATCAATATTTTAAACTATATTAAAAATTATGAATAAAATAGTTACATAGAATGTTTTATTAATCTAACTTTATATAAGACCCCTCACCTTTCCCTTTATTACTCAAAATTTTCTCATTTTTCTAATTTTAATAAAAAAATTGAAAGTCAAAATAGTTTTGAGAAAAATAATAAAATAGGAGTAAAACATAAAAATGTAAAAAAATGTTTTATGTCTTTATTACAAAAATAAGAGTTATAATGAAAATAAAATGTCAATCATGAAAGAAAAAATAGGTTTGAGTACATTATGTGACATTTCTAATATTTAAAACAAAATCTTGTAATATATAAAGTACAATTACAAATATATTATTTATAATAAATACTACATAAATAAATTGAGGTGCAACATAACCAAATAAATTTTTAAAATTTAACATTTTGATATTTATGCTAACTTTATATTATAATAATTTTTTGGCAAAAGTAATTTTTTGTGTATAAAAAATAACAATACTTTTTTCTTAAAGGAATTCATTAAGATAACATGATGGTGGTGATGATGATGATGATGATGATGATGATGATGATAATAATAATAATTTATAACAATAAAAATTAGAATGAGAATAATATAAAAATACACTAAAATAAATTTTTTTTAATGTTTTTTTAGATTTCCAATTTTTTTGAAGTTTTTCCAATTATATTTCTTCCAGTTCCATCCAATTTCTTCCAGTTTTTCCAGTTTCTTTCAGTTCCTTCCAGCTCTTCCAGTTTCTTCCAGTCCTTTCTAGTTCTCCAGTTCCTTCCAGTTTCTTCAAGTTTCTTCTAACATCCAGCTCTTATTTTTCAGTCCTAAAGAACATGCTCTAAATAGTACTAAAATATCACCAAGGTTCCCATGACATTGGAAACCAATGTCATAGGAACCTTGCCCACTAAAATATAGTGACTTTCCTGATATAGTACTATATGTTTTTATTTTCTAATGTAATACCACTGGCCATTGTACACTGGTGATTGTTCAAGAAAATGTCCACCAGCACTGCACTTTGTTCAAACTAAATGTCAACTATCACTGAATATTTTTCCCGCCACTAGACATTATCCAAGTACTATTTAGGAAATAAACAGCGTAAGTACTATATTGGGAAATGACATACTACCTCCGTTCCAAAAAGATTTACACGTTTTGACTAAAGTTGAAATTAAGGGAGGGATAATTTTGTGTTGACTTTCCAAAAATACCCTTGATGTGATGGGTAAAAGTAGGATGTGATGTGTAGATTATTAGGAAAAAGGTACGATGTGATAGGTAGGGTTGAAAAAGTAAGGGGTAAAAGTGGTTTTTTAATAAAAATGTGTAGGAGATTGTGGGATGTAATTTTTTTGAAACGTGTAAATCTTTTTGGGACGGAGGGAGTATGTTTTAGCATTACTCCCTCCGTCCCGGAGTATTCGTCCAGTTTTGACTTTTAGAACTGTTCATCTAAGCACTTTGACTTATCAAATTCTCTCAATGTGTAAGCATGTGTGATCTTGTTTGATTTGTCTTAACATATAGATTATTAATATATAATTTCTATAATTTTTTAATATACAAATTATAAGATAAAATGGATTAAAGAAGTCTATTGGATGGTGTGTAAAAATGAAAGTGGACAAATACTCTGGGACGGAGGTAGTATTTAGTACAAATTTCACTTTTTATATTTACTTTTTATCTTTTTTGTACATTGCCGCCAACGGGTTAGCCAACTTTTTCTTTTATACTCCGTATTTTCATCTTTCTTTAGAGAGTCACATTACCACAGTTCTATTCCAGTAAAAAAACATGAAAGTCCTATTTTAGTACTTTTCTCTATGTTTTAGTCATATTTAGGATGATTTCTATATGCTCTAAAAGATGTAGAATAATTTGCTAATTTCCATATTTGAAAATATTGGTTACGGGTATATCCGAAGGTGTTCATTTAAATTTATCCTCGTTTTCACCCTTAGTTAAGATGTGGAATTGGGAAAAGAATTGCTGCCTAAGTGCCAATTACTTCTTTCCATTTGGCCCGGTTCCGTGGCCACTGGATTCCAGTGGCCACGGAAGCCACTTCCCTCATACGGAGTTTCGTTCATAAAATTGATAATACCCCTCGGTAATCCCCTCTCCCCCCCTCCCTGCCCAGTCTCGACCCCAACTCATCCCCCCACCTACGTCAATTGCACCCCGTAAGTTTTGACTTTAAAATCAATTATACTTACAGGGTTCAATTGACGTATGTGGGGGATGAGTTGGGGTCGGGACTCGACGAGGGGTTAGGAGTAGGAATCATCAATTTTATGAACGGAGCTCCGTAGGAGGTAGTGGCTTTCGTGGCCACTGGAATCCAGTGGCCATGGAACCTAACCGCTTTCCATTAGTAGGGGAATAGTAGGTCACTAATTATACTCTAAAATAAAATTAATATGGAAATATGTTGTATGTTCTGCCGTTAATTTAAAAATAAAAGAAAGGTTAAATTAATATGAAAAATAACGATGTTACGTTCAATGAAATTCAACGAACAACGAATAGTGAAACTCATTCGAAGAGGTACGACCAACGGGAGTCGCTCGAAGAGGGGAGAGGAAAGAAAGGGCGGTAGATGCTAATAGCGTCGGCCAAGTCAGGGGAAGCACTTTGCGCGTCGGACGCTGTTGAAGAACTAGTCGAAGTAGCTGAAGAAGGGAAATCCGTATCCATCATAAACTAAGTGTAGGATTACCACCGCTCTTGGTTTAAGACAAAAAAATTGATGTAAACCAACAAAATAATTCCCTGCTTTTTCAGATATCCGAAATTTTTGGATCGACAAAATCTATTCCATGTCCGATCCCGAAATCTCCAAATTCCTGGTTTCCAGGTATAGAAATTTCAAATCGGATCAATGAAATATCCAAAATGATTTTTATTTTAAGAATTATTATTTTTTAAAATAATTCAAAATTAATATTTGGGATCAATTTTAATTTGTAAATAGTGGAGCTCAACATTAACCATAAATTAGAAAATCAAAATGTTTTAAATGTCATATTACCTTAAGAGTTTTATTTAAGTCATAATTTCTAAATATCTAGAAAAAAGAATATTCGCGTAATGAACAAATATATATGAAAAGAATGAAAGAGTACGGAGTTAGATTTAGAGAATTGTTGTGACAGAAATGAACTAAGCTTAGGTTTAGGTTTAGTTTTTATATTTACTTTTTATAAAATATAAAGTTTGGATATTCACGGATATCTAAAATCTTAATATTTCATCTCATGTTGGATCCATTCTTTTCAAAATACCCAAAAGCTAAAATACCCGGTTGGATATTCAATTTTCAAATTAGATCGGTCCGGATCGTGAATGGATTTTTCGAATCGAATATATTTGAACACTTTGAATTAGGACAACAAAAAAAGGCATCTATAAACATTCAAATCGGACGGAGAAAATATAAAAATTGGAGTCTTTACTCTCTTAACTAGAACGGGGTGACTTCGGAATGTTAACAAATCACTTTTAATTTCTAGAAACTTAGCTCAAGAATTCAGCCGGTTCCTTAAACAAGACCTATATTTTTACACTCATTGTCTCGCTTAAATTGTTTGTTCGTTGCCATCTTGATTCTTTAAACTTTTAATTAATTTTTGAATATATAATTTTTATTTATTAATTACACACTAATTTTCAAAAAATTGAATGAAAATTAATTTCAATCAACCATCGTAAATGTAGAAAGAAAATGATTGAAGGGTAACCCTGTAAAGAGTAAACATGAAACTTAATTTGAGACGTAGAGTGTACGAACAATTTAATTATATCGCTTCAAAAAAGCTTTATGCAAAAATGGGGTAAAGACTTTAATATTAGAGCAAAAAATAGTTGCAAGCACTTGGTGCAAAGATAAAGGCTTCATTCAATGCTCCGTAAGTTTTACGACAGCACTAGTAGTATGGCCTTTTTAGCTTTCCTTTTTTTTTTCTCATCCTTTTAAAGGAAAAATGGTGTAAAGACTTCCCTTTTTCTACCTACGTCATCATTCCAACACAATGGTGGAGGCAACGTGGCTTAATGTACTCCATATACATATAAATAAAAACCAACCAACATGGGCAGCTAGACTTACAGGCAGGTGAAAAGAAAAATAGAGGGACATGGTAAGAAACATGAAAGAAAAGTTACAAGACTCCATTTTCCACTTCCACTACAAAATTTACTGTTCTATTCTCAGTTTCTACAAACGTGTGAAAAAAAAGGAGAGAATTTTACCCCACCCCACCCCAGAGGAAAGGCAAATTACAAATGGCACAATCATTTTCTTTAACCCTTCAACTTGTTCTTCCCCAACCCTTCCCCTTGCAGCAGCAGCTGTCTGGTTTGTACGTTGCAGCGTGAACCGGGACCCGCGGCTATTTCCATGAAATGCTTGTACCTCTGACTCTAGAAGAAGTCAAGAATCAGAAATCAGGCATGCCGCTAGATCTTGACGAGTACTCTGAGACCAGCTTTAGAAACATAGAGGACTTGTCCTCTAGTAGTCGAGCTGGGGTGTCAAACTCAGCTATTCGACCTGCATTTTACACATATCATTGTTTAATCGTGTCCTACAACAAGAGCTTTAAAGAAATTCATTCATGGTAATAAACAATTGCTGAAAATATATGGTTTGATGAGACCAAATATTTTTTCTTGAGGACTAGAAATGAGTGGGTGCGTTAATGATGAAGAAACTCACCATCGCTGAGGACCAAAACAAGGTCGCTATCAATTACAGTAGGGATGCGATGTGCGATGGTGCAGACGGTGCAATCCTTGAATTCTGTTCTGATAATCTTTTGGATTAGGTTATCTGTGGCTGAATCCACTGAGGCTGTTGCTTCGTCCAGCACCAAGATCCTGGCCTGTTTCAGTAGTGCCCGGCCTAGAGATACAAGCTGCCTCTGCCCTACGCTCCAATTGTCACCGTTTTCTAACACTGGAACACGCAGATAAAAAAGATGTTCATTTAAAGACAAGATCTAAATATATAAAAAGAATTAGTTTTGAATATATTTAGAGGGGAAAAAAGAGCATATAAGCAAGCTTATGCCTGGGGTGTCCAGTTTTTGCTCTTTTTGTCGAATTATATCTCCAAGTTGTGACTTGTCAAGTGCCTGTGACAATTCACATATGGTTAGGCCATATTATTCCTTGATGATAGATCAAAAGCAAAGCTTTTCAGAGTGTCTTATCCTATTTATTGAAATTAGGTGCTCAAACAAAACCAAGAAGGCTCAAGGTTTGAATAGTCCGAACTTAGGCATGGAAAATTCATTGCCATTCAGTGATTCAATCGACACCTACAATTAAGTGTGTTTGAATAACGCATCATTTTCCAATATGTACTGAAGTGGAACAAAAATAACAACACTTACCTGCCATATTTGTTCATCCGTATTTTCTTCAAGGGGATCAAGGTTGCTTCTAATAGTGCCTTCAAATAATGCAGGATCTTGGGGTATTATACTCAAGCGACTGCGAAGATCGTGCAATCCGATAGTTGAAATGTCAATATTGTCAATAACTATTCTTCCCCCGTCAGGTTCGACCATTCGGAATAGGGCCTGAATCAGAGTAGACTTCCCACTTCCAGTTCGGCCAACAATTCCAATTTTCTTCCCGCCAGGAAATATGCAAGATATGCCATGGAGTACTGTAGGAAGATTCTCCTTGTAACGGACCTATAACAAACCAAAGTCAGAACCTATTCAGATTGTGTGTTTATTCATCATGGAAATACGGCATAAGTAATTAAGTACACACAGATGTGGCACTCCATGTTGTAGCATCACTAAAATTCTATGCATACTTTAGATGAGGGGATTTGTAAAATAGATGCATAATGACTTCTCTGTCATATTCCCTTGAACTAACTTTAACACTTGAAACCTAACAGTTGCTCATTATATTTTCACCTCCCTTGCACTATGTTTGGTTCAAGGTATATGAAGGAGAAAATAAAAGAAAATGATAGGGAAAACAATTTTTCTTGTTTTGATAGGGAGGAAAAGAAAAGAAACGTGAAGGGAAAAAATGATAGAAGAAAATGAAGTAAGGAAAAGAAATTTCCTTCCATTTTGTTAAGGAAATTTAGAGAAACCACTTTCTTTTCTTTTCCATTCAAATTCCACGAACCAAACATAGCATTAATGCCATATGTTCGCCATCGCTTTGCATTTCATAACAAAGTAAATAGCTTATTTGTTCGAGCTGTAACACAAAAAGTTAACACAACACCTGCACACTATATGTCTAATTGTTCATAAAGAACCTTTGTTGTTTACACTCTACATACTCTTATTTCTATATAAACCGGTAAACAGAATTTCAAGAGAATGTTTTGATTTGAATCAGAAATAACACAAGTGAAACGTAAGATGCATACCTTTAATTCAAAGAGTTCAATGTTTCCTTCTTCTGGCCATGACAATGGAGGCCGAGAACTGTCAATAACCATTGGAGCCTCACTGGGTATTTCACAGTATTGATGAATCCTTTCTAAAGAAATAATTTTGTTTTCAAGCTTGCAAAAGCTAAGTATCCACCGTGATAGGCGTGCATTCAAGTTCAGCCCATATGTTACGGCAAGTCCTGCCATACCTATAAAAGAGGACACTTCACTTATTAGATTAGTCAAGAAAAAACATTCAAGGCACCCCCTTCGTTCTCAAGTGTTCTCACATTCATTGACACAAAATTCAAGAGCATAAATCTAGGTGGGTTCTTTTTTTGGATTTTTTTGGAATACATCAAAAGAAGCTACTCATATATATATTTTAGTCAGGATTAAACTTTGAATTTAAGGAGGGATGGGGCTTCATTTGGGAAAACAAACATGATCAAGGACTTATCTTCAACTAATACTCAAACACTAACATTATGAGGGATTAGGAATTTTCCTTGTATATATTAAACAAATCATGAATTCCAAACATTAGAAAAGTTCAAGCAGTTCCTAGTGTTACTTTTTGAAACTTGATGGTTCCACAAGGTATCTAACTACAAGAAAGGCCCGATACAATTCTTAGCTAGCTGTATATGGAACATCAGAGAGATGCTTACTCGGATCTATACTTCCAACGGGAAAACTCACAAGCAAAACCATGCAAAATGAGAAGACACATGTTGAAAGCAACTCCATGCGTAGGCAGAGCCATTCTATAGCAGCTATACTGCAGAAGAATGGGCGTGTGAAACAATCAAGAAGATAGAGATTCCTTTTCATAAATCTTTTCTCTTGCCCGAAACCTCTGATTGTAGCAGCTCCAGCAATTGACTCACCAAAGAGATGTATGATTGGAGATTTTTGAATGCTGACAATCCGAACCAATTCCCTCGAGGAAGCCATATAGTATTTCTGTAAGCATGCGTATGCAGTTAAGAGTTTGCACTTTGGAAACATTGTGCATCAAGATTATTCATTCAAATTTAGCATATTACATAGCGACTTCATGCATTGCATCATATATATATTTATATATTTCCTAAATTTGAGCCATTCATGATTCATGAAGAGCTGGCTAAGAAGTAATTTTAGATATTCAGGCGTTTTACAACACAGATGTTGATGAATGCGTGAGAGCATTGCACTTAGTTTTGCCACTTTTGCAAATTATTAGGCTGCCTTTTGCTTATTGACCGGGTTTCTCATTTGGGGTTTGGCGCTTCAGAGTCGTCGCAGGGCAGGGACGGCTCTAGCCGGTTCAAAACGCATTCCTGTGATAGGATATGGCTGTTGACCCTGCGGATACAAGGAGAATTAGGGGCATTTTTGGTTCAGATCGGCACATGACCCAGAACCCCAGTTTTTTAGATAATTAATTCTTCGCTGTTTTTCGTTTCAGCAATAAGTTAGGCAACCTTAGGTAACAAAATGCAGTGTAACTGCAAACCCTTCTTTCTCATAATTAGATATCCAAGAGACGATTCAGCCTAGTGACGGACTCTTTTCATCTTCTAGTCACTGCAGCAGCCAACAGGTACGCTATCTTCTTCTCTTCAATCTTGATCTTCAATTATTTTAATATTTTCAATCAAACTATCTTCAAATCATTTTAATATTCTCAATCAAACTAGCGAAGTATCCTAAATGATGAAGTATTAAACATGTGTGCTTGAGTTTTTAAAGTATTTGTAAATTAACTACTTCCTCCATCCAGCAAAAATCTCTCTTAGTTACTCCCTCCGTCCCTAAAAAAAGCTCTTGATTTGGTTTGGCACAAAGTTTAAGAAAAGTAAAATTGTGTGGTTGAAAGTGATGCAGAGGAGAGAGAAAGATTGTGAGCCATAGAAAGATTTCGAAAACTAGAAAGATGAGTCTTTTTTTGGGACGTCCCAAAAAAGAAATGAGACTTATTTTGGGACAAAGGAAGTACTATTCACAAATGTCAAATTATATATTCTTTCTTTACAAATTTTCATTGATCATTATATAAAATAATATAACCATGTCATCTCTTGTTTCAAAAAACTATTGGTGTAATTTTTAAATATATACCCCCAAGTAAATTTTAGATAAATTGAATTAAAAACAAATTCAGTCAAACATTGTAAATCAAAATCAAAACCTCTTTATAAGACAAAAGTTGTATTTAAATATTTTAAGAAAACAACACAAACGTCACAAAGGCAAAAGAACAAATTGATGTGGATGCTAAAGTGCCAAAGAGTAAACACAAGTTGTACTTTGTATTCTATATTTGTATTAACAATTTCAAATATGATACTTTTGACATTACGGAGTATTCACTATTTTGTCATATGCCTTTGGATTGTTATTTACTAATTAATCTTGAATTTTTACATTTATGATGCCTATTTTTAATGTTTTATTATTTATTTGTTGTTGTATCTTTGCCTCATCCGCGTCCTCTAATATTTAAATTTTCCGTTTTCCGTCCCCGTGTATGCTCCCGCACCTGTCCCAGTGCAACTTAGCATAATGAAAAAATGCCCCAGTACGAAGGCACTTGTGTTTGACCGGTTTTAAAGATGATAAATGAACTATCTTTCCATGAATACTGAACACCACTTACAAAGAAAGTATAGTTTGGGAATATTTTCCCAAGAGGTTATAATTTGTTCCTACTAAATAACATTGTTCTGAGACAAACTCAAAACATGTCAAACGTAGGGAATAATAAATGAGATTACTAACAAGGAAGAAAGGAGTACTATATGATGGCATTGGATCAAATAATAACCTGCATCCAGAGGCAAGCAATTGCCATTGGGATAACAAGAAGCAAAATCTGCCAGGTTACTTCTGTCATGACACCAACAATACCGAGCAGCTGGATCGTTGTTGAAGCAAAGCCTCCAAGTCTGAATGGAATATCAAGATCAATGACACTTTGATCAATAGAGACCTGATAGACCATAAGATTGCATTTAAATTATTCTGATATCTAGATGCAATTAACATATGAAGAAGGATATGATGAATTAACAAACAATCAAGTACGGAAAGAACCATGACAGGCTAATGAAAGACTTCAACATACACGATTTAGAATACGCCCTGCTGGAGTGGAGTCAAAAAAAGACATTGGTGCCCTGAAAACTGTTCTCAGCATGTTCAAAAACAGCTTTTGTGCTGCAGCTAGACCAAAAGTAGCAACCAGAACAGCCCTAATAAAAATAAAGAACGAGCTCCCAAAGGCAAGGGCCATATAAACCAGAAGAAGAACCAAACTACTTGTTTTTGCTTCATTTCCAGGGGTTTGAGGATTTGCCCAAGCCATCCACCAGTTACTAGCTATTTGAAGAACTTGAAATAATGTTTGTGCAATAATGATAAGAGGAATTAATAAGCCTTTATATGCAGCTCCCATATATGATAGGTAAACCTTCATGCTAACCCTTCCTCTCTCACGTTCCTCTTCCTGAACAAGCTGCTTTTTCTTAGCACGTTTAGCTTTCTTTTTCTCTTTGATTGCTCTTTTTTCAGCAGCAGTTGCGCTTTCTTGCACTTCGTTTGCCATAGTGTCAATATTAGCTCCTATTGACTCACATTTTTTACTCATTAGAATTGATCCATCAAGAGGATGATGTTCGTCTTGTTCTTCGCACTCAAGGTAAGAGATGTCCATAGCTTCAATTGCTTCATGATGCGCTGAAACCAGACTCCTGAAGTCAGTTCCTGCTTCAAGAAGTTCATCATATTTTCCACATTGAGTGATACGGCCTTCCCTAAGAACCTACACAATAGAGAGTGAACGTAAGACAGGATGAGAACTGACTATGAATGCTACAGTTTCATTACACTGTTTCTTGTTGTGTTGGAAGCCTGGAATGAAGATTATGTGGTAGGATTGAAGAAATATATTCAAAACAGACATTTGTGCAGCAAGACTAATAATAGAATCCAACAATATAGGTTCATATAGCCAGACAACCTCTCCAAGTGGAAGGAAAAAATCATTTGCCAATTTAACAAACTCTTGTTGGAATATCTTCCATTTTTATTTATATCACATAGAGTCGACACGAGCTTAAGACAAAATATATCATAAAAAACATTTAATCTGTTTTTGTTTAAACACTTCTACTCTGGTTCGTGTAGGGGAAGGGGAGACCAATTTACAATGTATATTTGAATCATTAGGGCACTTCAATCAAACATTCAAGCCCTCAAGTGACTGCAATCCCGTAGAACTCTATGGTGCATGCACTCGCTATTCTACACTAAAAGGAAAAGACATGCATTTGGCTGAACCACAAACCATCCCCTAAGCTAGAGAGAGAGAGAGAGAGGAAAACAGTGTGGAAGCTAAGAAAATTATGAAAGCACAGAGAGAGAGAGAGAGAGAGAGAGAGAAGATAGAAAAGGAATGTGAGATCCACCATTGCAAGGGGCCAAGGGCTTTCACTCCTTACAGTATATAACTGGAAACATACTGATACTCCGTTGGGCGCGATTTTTAATAAAGTATTATTTCTGTGGTTCTGGTTTGTGCAGAGGAAAGAGAAATAATATGGACCATAATCTTTTCCCTAAAAAAAAGTGGTAGAGAATTTTGGAACAACCCAAATAAAAAAGTAGAAATACTTAACTTTGAGTGAGAAAGTGGTAGGTTAAAGGAGCAGTACAAAAAATTAACTTTTAATGGTGCTTCATTTTTATTTATACTCCTGGAATATTTTATATCGATTATAATTATTATTACTCCATATCCTTCCTAAACTTGGTCAGCACTCCAATCAAAGAATGACTGAGAAAGTGAGAAGTAAATGATCATTCACAAACTCCAATTACATTATCAAAAGCGTCAGAAATCAGAATTCATTTGGCCATATGTTTTGGGTAAGCTGTACAATATACCAACGTAAGATACAAATTCAATATATAAATACTGAGTAATAAAAGCAACAATAAAACTACAGCAATAATGACAGTCCATTCAAATTCTCAATATAGGCTGCTGTTAGTATCCCGCCTCCAAAAACACAACAGAATTCTGTGTGCCTGGGCAAACGAATCAAATAACAGCATAAATAAAGTTTATTCAATAAACTGGCTAAAGAATCTTCAAAAGGTAAGCAGGCAAGAGCAACTTCTGGCAACCAAACGAGATATTACCAACATATAAATTAATCTTATGATAGTAGAACTGAAGAATCTTACATACCAATATCATATCAGCAGCAGGCAAAAACTCAACCTGATGAGTTACGAACACCACAGTTTTTGTAGCAAGGGCTGTTATTATGTACTCCTGCAATGAACAATATCACAACTAAATCATTCGGTTTCCCTTAAGTATAAACTCCGATTGAGAAATAAGAATGTTAACCTTGAACAATTCAGATCCAGTATGTGCATCAACAGCGCTGAATGGATCATCAAGCAAATATATATCTGCATCCTGATAGAGTGCCCTCGCTAGCTGCACTCTTTGCTTCTGGCCACCACTAAGATTTATGCCTCTATCGCCGATAATAGTCTGGTCACCATGCGAAAAAAGCTCCAAGTCCTTTTTCAGCGAACATGCATGGATCACACTTTTGTACTTAGATTTATCCATTGGACTGCCAAAGAGAATGTTATCTTCTATGGTTCCAGATTGTATCCAAGCTGACTGAGAGACATAAGCTGCAGCTCCACAAATCCGAACCTAATAAAACATTAAAAAATTGTTACAATACCGAAGCAAAACATCCATAGAAGTGAAAGTAATTCAGAGAAGCTATAAAGAATAAAATACCTACTTCACCAGTGAGTTTAGGGATTTCACCAAGGATGCAAGAAAGGAAGCTTGACTTGCCAGAACCCACCACGCCACAGACAGCTACACGCATTCCACGGTCAACTCTCAAATGTATGGCAGACAACGTTGGCCTTGTAGAAGATGCATCCCAGCAAAAGTCAGAGTTCTTAATTTCTATTGCCACGTTACTGCTTCCACGGGGCAATGCAATAGTTGCATCTTCCTGCAACTCCTCCTCCATTAGAAATCCAGATATTCGGTCAATAGATACTTTTGTCTGAGCCATCATTGAAACCAGGTCAGGGAAATTTCTAAGTGGTTCCTGAAGGATCCTAAAAGTGGCAAGAGCAGAAAGGACACTTCCTGCTGTAAGCTGACCCCCCAACAATATGCAGGTGCCAAAAGTAACAGCTGAAACAAATATAGGTGAACTCCAAAAAATGAAAGTAACTAGTGATTGGGTATAAAGAGCCAAGCGCAGATATTTGTATTCCACACTGCGCATTTCTTCCAACATAAGACGGTACCTATCTTCCCAAGCTTGCAGTTTTAGAATCCGCATGTTCCTAAGACATTCAGAAGTCTTTCTCATTCTATCATCCTTAGCAGCCATCAAATTGTCTTGGTAGTCTTCTTGAATCCGTGCTAATGGGATTGTTGCAACAATGGATATGACGGTAGCAATTAAGGTCGCAACAGATGCAATTCCGACATTCTTGTATAGAATTGCAAGAGCGAGGATGATTTGAAGAGGANGTGGCTTTGCCTGGCAGAGCTTGATAGCTTGAGTCCCTTGCGGTATACCATTGCAGTGAGAGCAGACCTAACATGCATTCCCAGAATGTCAACCCCAAGATACCATTGCCGGCTTGTGAATGTTTCTACCAACTTTGCTACAAAGAAAATTCCAGTGAGAATGTACCCTTCATGGGGGAATGCTTCAACCCCTGCTAAGTAATCTACAAAGTAACTAATCATGTACGGCCCGACATACGAAACCAGTGTGTTCACCCCAGCAAAGATTGCATTGCATGCAGCCTCCCTCCAGAAAGATTTCAATATAGCCCAAGCTAAAGAAGGTTGTCCAGATGGGTTTTCAGCCTTCAACTTCTCCCAGTTAAAAGTCAGGAGTTTATAGTTGGTCTTGGAACGATCTTTTTGTGCAAGGAGTGGAATGTCTTTCAGATCAAGTGGCCTCTTTGCACCAGTGGAAAGAAGAGGGTTTAGCCATGAAAGAGTGGTCAAACTGAAGAAACCAGCATTGCTGTAAGGAGTGACTTTGAGACACTCTGGCTCCTCTTCTTGCCCTAACAGTAATGGCTGTTCAGCATCAGGGTTCGTGTGTACTCGTACACCGCTATCCCCCCTAATAGCAACAAAACATAGGAACGCAAGGGCAGGGGTAGAAGCAAAATTCGCCAACACATGAGAACTCAGGTGTGCTGACCCTTCTGCTACAACCCCTCTAGCATCGACATACAAAGTACCCAAACATATGAGAAAAGACAGGCTCCACCAAACCCTCATAAGCAAATTGAACTTTTCTGCTCCCCTGAATTTGCAGTAGATTGCCAAGAAGCTCAACACAAACCAAGCCAAACTCTGAGCTGCAGGCGAAAGTATAACGGTCCAATTCACAACATTCTCCTCCCCTTGTGCGGCCTTCCTTATCAGACCAACCACATCATATCCCAGCACAACAATGCACAGGAACAACACATAGAAGCAACAGATAAGAGAAAGCTTGTAGCTTCTGTCGGTTTCAACCCTCTGGATTTGAACATCATCCCTTCTCCCAACTGGAACTGATTCTGCACAGATGTTTGAACTCTCCTTGCAGGTCCTAATCCGGCCATAGCACAGGAAAATCTGTTTGGCGGACACAACTGAGACGAACACAAGGAAAAGCGTCAAGTGAATGCAAATGGAGGCAAGCTCAAGCACCGGCAGACCATGAAGACCGGCGAGGACGGCCGAAAGGAACGGTGCCTGGTTGGAGATTTCAGAAGTGAACAAAGTGACACCGATACCCATTTCTCAGAGATATCAGTGCAGAAGGAAGGGGAGGGAATCAAGACGTATGAATTGAAGCTGCTTCACTAGACAAATCGATATATAACAAGATGGAATAGCAATAGGGTTCAGCTCGTGTAATGGGCCTTCCACCATCTGGCGATGAAAACCTCTGTCCGTAGCTCCAAAACGGTGACAAGTAGCAGAGATGAAGAGAGGGAGAGTGAATTGTTCTACAGACACATTACACATGAAAACACAGGGTTTTATCATCGAAGACAAAATATCAGGCACAGCAGCAGCAGAAGGGAAGATGAAAATACATAAACTCCAAATCCCTAAACACAATTGCTTGAGAATTCAGAAATTTTATTTTATATAAAAAGAAAAAAAAAGAATGTGCACTACAATTATTTTCAAGATTAAAATCTGAAGCAAACCCATGACGGAAAATCCAAAATACTGACCTAGGTTTTGGGGTATTGTCCCCAGAATGTCGGCAAGCGAGGCGGTGGAGATTGTCGAGGAAACTGCGAAGTCTGGATAGATAAAACTGGTGGATGGTATATTGATAACAGGTAGCGCGAGAGAGAGAGAGCGCGTGGCAGAAGAAGAGAGCTATGAAAGCACAGAAATAGAAAGAGAGAGAGCAGACGACGACAAAACTCACCAATCTCTTTCACCCTCCCACGCACTTATTAAAGCAGCAGCTGCGTGTTAGTGCGAGATGGTTATTGAGTGAATGAGGGACGATGACACAGAAAAGATAGTTAGAGAGAGAGATATAGAGAAAGGGAGAGTGTAGATCCACCATTGCAAGGGAGCTTACGGTACTTATAGGCTTTGTTTGAACGTGTTTAATAACGTGAAATTCATTATTTAAAAGATATACTCCATCTGTCCTCGTTCACATTTGACCTTTTACTATCTATGTATGTAATGTTGCATTTTGACCATTTATATTAGTATTTATACGTAAATATATTTTATAAAAATTTGCTATTTAAAAATTACATCTCAATATCGAAGTCAAAGTTTACAAACTTTGACCAAAGAAAATCAAATGGAAAGATCAGTTCGAGACAGAGGGACTATTTACTACTCTAGAATCCTTTCTTCCCATAAAATTTAAAAAAAAAATAAATGTACCCTAAAAATGTAAAATTTTGATTTTATTTTTATATTTTGTCCTTACCTCATAATAAGCTAGGATATGATGTATATGATAGATAAGTCATAATTTAAAAATAATATCAAAATTACCTATTTTAAAATAAATTGTACTCCCTTCGTCCCCCAATTTTTGTTCACTTTTGACTTTTGGAATTGTACATCTAAGCACTTTGACTCATCAAATTCTCTCAATGTGTAAGCCTAAATATAGTCATGTGTGATCTTGTTTGATTTGTCTTAACATATAGATTATTAATATATAATTTCTATAGTTTTTTAATATACAAATTACAAGATAAAATAGATTAAAGAAGTACATTGGATGGTGTGTAAAAATGAAAGTGGACAAATACTCTGGGACGAATGGAGTATTTGAAAAGTTTTATAAGACGAATGAAGTATTTTATTAGGAAAGTATAAAAGTACAACACAACTTTTACTAGATTAACTTTAAAAGAAAGTTAAATAATAAATTTGGGATTGAAAAGTATTTACACAGAAAAATGTTTGAAAACCCTACTTGGGGTATACTAAATGTACACCCAAAAAAATAAGCACATATAGACACTAATATCTGATCACGCATACACAGACACTAATATATGTGCAGGCACACACACTAATATCTGTACATACACAGACAATAAATTTTTGTGAATACCTATTTTGGTCTTGGTGTATAATTTGTGTTCTCCAAGTGTGGTCCCCGGTGTCACTCCCCATTTACAAAAAGCAACAATGATGACAACTTTTTTAATACCAGTAGAATAATTCCAAAATTTATTGTATTGATGGTGATTTTTTTGGGATTAAGCTATGTGTATCCCAATTTGTACCCCGTAGGTTTGTACTAACATTTTGTGTTGGTGTAAAACTAATTTTTTTAACACACCAACATTTGTGTTCATGTAAATTTTTGTTAACGCACCAACATTTGTATCACTGTAAACCATTAAAATGTTTGTGCATAACTGTGGGGTACAAATGGTGTACATTTTTTAGTGTAAATGTAGCATGGTCGTTCTTTTTACTTTTAAACTTTAGGGTGATTCCACATCCTTTTTCCCACTCATACATACGTACTTGCTTGATAGGTGTTGTGTCCCATCACTGCTACTAAGCTTTTTTATTAATTATACGGAGTAGTCCATTACTAAATAAGGGCGTCACGTTCATCACGTTTATCAAAATATCAAGTTTTTTTCAATTCATTTTATTTACATATTGGTAAAAAAATAAAAAATAAAATTACATATCAAAAAATTACATGAAAAGTTCTTCGAAATAAGAGGTGTCAAGAATATTTTATTTTATCAAATAACCAATGAAAACGTAGAAATAAACAAAAGTTCTCGCGATTGTTGAAAAAGCAAATGTGACAAATAATTTGGGACGGAGGGAGTACATTAATGCGATAAAAAAAAGTAGAATAAATAAAAATACAAATAAAAAATTGGTTTAAAAAACTTATTCGTTGTCCGAAAGTGGAGAAGCGAAATTCCACAAATAATCAACCAAATCGTCGTGGTTTTATGCGTGTTCGATTAGCTCCTTATACTCTTTCCCAAATATATTTGCTTGTTTTCTTGCTAATTTTGGTGGAATTTACGGTACATATAGGCCTTGTTTGATTAGCTCATTATGTTTTATGTTCCCAAACAAATTACACTTTAAATAAAACAGAATAGTTTTCAAATTTATTCATTTTATTTCATTTAAATGTACACTTTAAAATATTTTATATATACTCCGAAATTGTTTGAGTCAAATCAGTCACGATTAGTTCAAAAGTCCATAACCATAAACCATCCGAAAAACTAATAGGGAGCATTTGAACATATCCATACACTCCATCTAGCAGGAAGTTTCAAAATACTTGCATTTTTACTCAACCTAAATTTAAAATAAGAAATTCTACATAGGAGTAAAATGATATAAAAACATCAAAATAAGAATGAAATAATTTAAATTCTCAAAATAGGATTTTGATGACTGACAGTGTGGTGGATTCGTGGCGGTGCGGTGGTGGACTACCCGTCAATAGTGGTCAAGTATGGCGTAGCATATCTCAATGTGGTGGTGGCGTCACTACAAGAATTCACACAATTTGCTACACAAAGTATGGGATGGATAAAAAAAATTGTTGCAATTTGCGACAACGTCCAAAGGCTTTCTATTTTGTGACGGGCACAATATTTTTGTCTAAAGGCTTATCTAGGTTCAAAAAAAAATTAACGGGTTTGTGTTTTGACGAAATATTTTTGTGATTGACCTTGAATTGTTTAAATTTATTATTGTGTGAATTGTTTGGATTCAAATTGTGGCTCGTGGACAATGGTGCATCACATCATATAACAGGGATGCTATCGTGTTTGACTGACATAGTGTAGAGGCCTCCTTGCACTATAAGCTTGCCCGATGGGGCTCATGTGCTAGCAAATTCTTGTGGTCGGGTGCAAGTGTCCCCTTCTTTAATTTTACACAATGTTCTTTATGTTCCTAATTTGAAGTGCAATTTGATATCAGTGAGTGACGGTTGCTTTTCTTCGAGGGAGCACCAAACACTGGCAGTGCCGCACAACCCAGGGATTTCCGAAACAAAAGAACAAAAGTGAAGCGACGATGTACTCCTTTGCCGATCGGAAAACACATGAGATCGGAAAACACAGGGGAGACTCAGACGCACGAGCCAAGGGGTTTGGCTCCAGTACATGTAGAAATTGGTGAAAAACCGATGTGAATTTCATTAATTGTGAACTGATATAAATACAAGTACAGCAATGGGTCTGGCCCAAAATGCTACAGTAAAACTTATATACAGATATTCGCTAACAATATCGAAACAAATACATATACATTCGCATTTGTATTTGTTTTTTTCAAATTCTAATAAATATTTATATTTTTATTCGTATTGATTTTTTCAAATACGAATCATTGTTTTCGAATACGAATCACGAATCGAATCAAAATTATTTGTTTGTTTTACAACCTCATGTGTATCTCTGCTTGTTATTACTCCATCTGTCCCAAAAAGTTTGTCTCATTTTGACTAAAGTGATAAAATAAGGAGAGATATTTTGGTATTGACTTTCCAAAAATACCTTTGATGTGATGGGTAAAAATAGGATGTGATGGATAGATTATTGGGAAAAAGGTATAATGAGATAAGCAGTGTATGATAAAGTAAGGGGTAAAAGTAGTTTTTTAATAGAAATGGAACGAACTTTAAGGGACACAATTTTTTCGAAACGTGACAGACTTTTTGGGACGGAGGGAGTACAAGAAAATATCAAAATTGCAACGGACACATTACAACATACATTTTTCTGTTGCAAAACTGAAACAACAATTTCATTTGCAACACAATTATTACGCAATGGCCTTGTTTGCAACAGAATTATTGCGCAATAGATTTTTTTTACAAATTCAACAATGCATAAGTTGTTGCAAACATTGATTAGGCCGTTGCAAACATTGAATAAGCTGTTGCAAACATTCTACAATAGAAATGTCGTTGCAAATTAAATGTCCATTGTGTTGGGAAAATCACCTCAATTTTCTAGCGGAAGCAATTAATAATTTTCCCATCTTTGTGTTGTCAAAATGGGCAAAATCATATGACCGATCAAGAATAGCAAACACAACAACAAACAATCAATCAAACGATAAACGAACACCAAGATTTAACGTGGAAACCCCAAATCGGGGAAAAAACCACGAACCCTTCCACTAATCACCAAGAAAAATCAGTGGGTACACCAAGAATCCTCTCTAAATCAATTAGAGGTTTACACAATCATCAAGCAACAACTTGGAACACCAAACAACAATAATCTTCACTCAAAAGTGAGAAAACCCATACAAAAATGCAGCAGCAAACAGAGGCAGTTTTACCGACATCGAGAGGTCAAAACAACAATCCCACCGTTGGATATGAAGAAGAGGATGTGAGGAACAACATACTAAAATTTCATCCGGATCGGAGCTCGTTTGGTCATCGATCGAAGCACAAAACCAGGCTGCACCTCTCTTTTTCTCCCTTCTTCCTTCTCTCGGCTCTCTCTATTTTTCCTCTCTGTTTCTGCGGCTGTGTTGGC